AGTGAGTTGTTTGGGTTGACATACTTCTTGAGCACAGAGTTAAATCCCTCACTTCTTGCCGTGGTCTGCAAGAACGGGAAAAAGTCGTGCATATAGTATACCGGGACCCAACACTTCCTGTTCTCCCACAGCCAATGGAAATGCTCGTTGTCAGTCTGGCCATACGCTTCCATCATCACCCACCATTTGTGCTCAAACTCCTCAACTGCATTCATAATATAAACATGGTAACATCAAGTATTGGAGGATGGTAACATCTGTTCAAACATAGCTGGTAACTAGGAACACCAATGTTGTTGATAATTATGTCACACACACATGGTTACTTTAGTTGAAGGATCATGGTAAGTACTTTGCATACAGGATAAGATTTTCTTTTTCCAAAGCGAATAGCACTCTGTGTGTGTAGTACAAGCAACATTTTTAACTAGCAACAAAAAGATATTCATATCAATCAGACTAGCTGGTGATTGAAAAGTTTTGTTTTAACTAGTGGGGTGAACAACTGAAATGTGTACATCAAACATGGACATTATAGGGGTAGTACAGAAAGCAACTAATGTAGGTAATTTTGTTATAATCCTCTGGTAACTTGTCACTTTGTTACATGGTAACTGTTGTTATCATGCATCTAAACCCATTTTCTATGTGCCCATTTTTCTGTGTTTTAAGCTAGTGAGGGGTGGGAAGTAAAATACCAGTTAGGCTGTTGTCAACACAATCCTTGAATGCATTGTTTAGTGGGTCATTGTCAGGCATCAGCTTCCCAAGCTTCTCTTGTGCTTTTTTCATTATATGCCAGCGGCAATTCCTGTGTACTATCCCGATGAACACCTCATCAATAGCACTCCTCATTGCAAAATCTTGATCTGTTATTATGTTTTTTGACGCAATTCCACCCATTGCATGCAAGAATGCATTAAACAACCACACAAAGTTACCAGATAGTTCGTTTCGAACAAACCCACAACCAAATTGGATCGACTGCCCATGGTTATTAATGCCAATGAAGGGTGCACAGGGCATTTTGTACATGTTTGTCATGTATGTTGTGTCAAACGAGATGACATCATTGTATCTAGCATATGCCCTGCGCGACGCACCATCTATCCAGAATAAATTCTCCACTCTATCCTCATTATCAAGCTTTATTCTCCAATAGAAATCTGGATCTTGTGCCTTCATATCTTGGAAGTACGAGATTGTGCTCCCCACATCAGCATGGCGGTACTCCATCCGGAATTTAGCTCGCTGGTTTGCGATGTCCTTTGTTGTGTATGATACATCTTTAGGATTCCCGTAGAACCATTCCATTAGTTGCATCTGTCTGGCTGTCTCTATGTTGCATCCGTGCAATATCTTCAAGAAGTCCTACTCATCTTTTGGAATGTTCCTATGTGATGATAGGAACTTTGTCAAGGACGGCTTTCTTATTAGAGGGTGGTTGTGGTCGTCGTTGAAGCGTTTGACTCTCCACCACGCATCCGTGTGGGTGATGTAAAGGTGGGCCGGACATCCCGACCTCACAACCTTCCCTCTTTTCCTCTTCTTCACGATGCCTTTTGGGTCCTGCACATCCTCTGTCTCTTCCTTGTTTGTTTTTGGCTTGCCGTATTTCCCACAAACCAGGAGGACTCTGCTTACAGTATTATCTTTGATTGTTTTTCTGTATTCCAGTCTCATTCCAAACCCATGTCTCTGTGCATATTGCCTATAGTGTTCATAAGCTTCCTCAAAAGTATCAAACTTCATCGTTTCATCAGGAGGTTTCGGTGTGGAGTATGCCTCGGTATTTTTGTCTCCCTGTTCAGTATTCTCTCCCCCTGTTTCTGGACTCGCTGGCTCGCTGACTGAATGATCAAAGAAGCTTTCTCTCCCCCCTATGCTGCTAGTAGTCGGTTCTTTGCTTGTTTCTCGAACCATCGGGTTGCTTCTAGAAGTAGCACCTGTAATGTTTTTGAAAGTTGTTATTTTGTGTTATATTTTTCTGCATGCCAAAACTAGTGGTAACTTGTACTTCAGTTGCTTGGTAAAGTTTGCATGCATTAAGATGTTTTTTTGTAGCCGTAAAGTGAAAGCATGAAATTCCAATTGCAATACATATTGCATGATAATTCATATGCAGTAAGTGAGGTAACTGTGCCTAAATTCATGGTAACCAGTGAAAGCATGTAATTCCATTTTCAATACAGATTGCATGATAATTTGTATGCAGTAAGTGTGGTAATTGTACCTAAATTCATGGTAACCTGTGTGCATCAAGCTATGTCATTTGTCAACTGTTTCATGGTGAATGTGATAGTTGTAAATAACCTAAGGTGGTAGTTGCAATTCAAGTACGATGGTAACAAATTTGTGTATAAAATTGTGGTAGCATGGTAAATGTTTTACCTTCATCTGTTTTGGCAGAATCAAAGCTTGCCGTGTGTGCATATTCACACTGTTGGTTTGTCCCCACACCACTCATCATGATATCCACATTACCCCCGTTGTCATGCGCCATTTTCTTGTGTCGTAGCACCTGCTAGTACATATGATTGCACCAATTAATTTTCCACAATTACTAGCAATCTTGATTATTTTTTCACAACAACTATATTTTTTTCCTTTTAATGCCATGATAACTTCTGTTTTATAACAGGTATCGTTTTGGCAGTAACCAGTATATGGGAGTATGACAGCGACAGTTTCTATGAACCTCATTTCATGAACATCATTTTTATCAAAAAAGAATGGTGGCAACAATGTAAATCAACACATGGTATTCTTGTAGTATTTTTAGCACCTTTGGTTCTGAGTTTTTCCTGGTAATTTGTAATGAATTAGCACGATAACTTGTTCTGACCTGGGTGTGTTCAATATATAAAGGATGGGTGTGTTCAATATATAAAGGAAGAAAGGGATCTTTTTTTATGTTGAATAAGTCTTACAGGATGCTGATTACTCAATGAACACACTCTGGTAATCTATTTTCAATCGAGATGGTATGTCAGTTTTAATGAGAAAATTCATACATGTATTTTCTAACTTGACTGTAAAAGATGAAATTTAGTCAATCTTTTTGTTGGTAACCTGACTGAATTTGAGTGGTAACTCAATTTCAACATGGGAATTACACACATGTAGTAAAAATACTACCTTTTCTTGCATGCTTTAGTTCTTGTTGTTTTTTCCCCATGTTTTCCCCCCTTGATTTTATTGGTATGAAATGCAAATGCAGCATGGGTATAGAGGTTGAATCACTTACCTCCTTTCTTTTTTGACTGATTATGACAAAATATGGACGAATTGATGATAACCCCTGTGATGTTCTTGTGGTAAACCGGGGCCCTCCCTCAAATCCTTGTGTTTTGGTGGTGTTTTTTCATGGTTTCCCTTTTTTTTGGTGGATCTAATCTGGCGTCGATGTTGCCAGCGATGGTGGCGCGTCGGGGAGAGAGGAGAGAACTGATCGGGGCAGGTGGCTGTTTCTTGCGATGGAGGTAAGAAAGTAGGGTTTGGGTGGTAAGTCACGTGCAGGAGGGGGGAGGTGGGCCAAATTGGGCCTCGATCCGTTGCGCGGGGAAGGACGCAGTAGGGGGGGAGGTGGGCCTAGCGAGAGAAGTCTGGGTCGTGGGTGGAGCTGCCGAATTGGATCACGCGCGGGAGGGACTCAAGTTCCCGATCGTGCGGATCTGTCGCTAAACCACCAGTCGGCTGGTGGTTAGTCGCGTCCTTCGCTAATTCCTACCCGAAGCCTATTGTGTTTAGTTTGCAGTTAACAAGGCTGCTAGATCCGAAAAGCCGTCCGTATTGGCTTTCTCTGTTAGTGCCTGAACCCAGCACGTACGCATGCTAATTTATGTGTGTGTGCCACTGTGTGTTTTCTCTAAATTATGCGAGTGAAACAATCAAATTTGGGGACATTTTATTTGCGAGCAACTACTCCTGAAAGATGCAGATCATAATTACGCACATTCTGCCCTGAATAACAAACCTACCGTAGCGAGGCAAGTAGTAGCACACAACAGAGATAATGGTTGATGCTCTGCACTGTCAAACAGAAAGACAGTGTTCATTCCACCAGCAATGGACTTGCACTGCCAGGCGACGCAGCCCGCGATGCTTTCTCCATTTGATTCAAGGACGAAATCTAGTTTCAGTCTTGTAGCCACAACAAACAGTACAAGCGCTGTCCCAGGCCACTCGTGAAGCAAAAAATCTCACCTTATTCGGCAACGCAAGCTTAGCGTATTCGTGAAGAAGAAGAAAATCTCCTGCCGCACTTGCCCCGGGTTTTGCACTATCTTTTTTCTTGAGGTTGTAAACAAACAGTGTAGGCACACATCATGGTAAAAAGGCCATTTCTTTCATAATGCCAGGCAGTAAAATCCCCCTTTGAATCATCAGGTGCACTCATATTAACGATGATACCCGCACCATGCGGACGGAGGAATCGTCTGACCAATTGTTCATTCCAGGAATTACCAACTCTGATGACAAGCTGGCTCATACTTGTATTGTATGCCTACCATTCATACTTCCTGGACTTGGTTTTAAAGCAAAATTTCAGGGAAGCCAGTTATCACGTCAGGCCCTGATGCACTAAGCATGAGTAAACACCCTTTCAGTACTCCCAAGTATCCCAAGAAGCCCAGTGAACTCTTCGCTGACCCTCATCCTCTCCCCACCAAAAAATCCTTATAAGTTTCATGCAATAATCTTTTAGCAAACCGGTCTTCAATGGGCTGAAAACGATTTGCTTTCGTCCATCCTTCTCGAGTTACAATTCCCAAGTACTCCTCAAAACCACTATCCTTCTGATGACTTGCAATATCCTTTTGATGACTTGCAGGATCCTTTTGATGTCAACCTGTCTTGTCTATCTGTAGGACCAGCAAAACTGAAAAGCATAGAGCAAGAGGCCGACAGACTTGCTGATCCTATGAAAAACAAACTAGCTACAGCTTAATCCGAGGATCATCAGTGAAGTGAATACTACACCCCTGTCACTATATACACTACTCGTCTCCATACTCATCCGACTCATGGCCGTCGTCTTCCTTGATGGTGAAGTCATTGCTACCTAGGTACATGTAGTCCTCCTCGAGTCCATCGTGCATCCAGTCCGTAACATAATCGCTATTACTTAGAATGCGATCGTTGTTGTACACCTCCCGATAGTAGCCGTTGTCATATAGATCTTCTCCCCGGACCATCTTCCCAAAGTCCGCCTCGTGCCCATGGAATCCCTCCCCACTAGCCGGGTGCACAATCCTGATCCCTTCTAGCTCGCAGAAAAGGCAGCGCACTGGCTCTGGCACACGTATGCAGACCACAATTAGTAATCATAGCAGAGATATACACGCACTTAATTTTTTTAACAACAAAACAGACAACATCCGTATTTAACCTACAGAATATATAAACATATACTCTCTCTGTAACTTAATATATGATGTTTTTAAACACTTACAGCATCTCAAAAAACGTCTTATATTAAGTTACAGAGGGAGTACTTTCTATCTTGACTTCAGAAGTAAGATTCTGGTGAGTTGATTGTGTGTGTGATATGAGCATCAGAACAGTTAACTAAGATCCATATCTATCTGATGAAAAAAAGAATCTTATCTTGAACATAAGAACGGGACCATACCAGCCCCTGGTGTTGGAAAATCCACAGGGCAACATAAAAGCTGGCTATCCTTGTCGCCATCATCGTCATTGCTAAGTTCAGCAAAGAAGAGTACTGGAACTGAACCTACAGAGCCAACATCCCGCATCACCAGAAAGTTGGCATGTATGTGATGGTAGTAGTCATCATCAAAACGAGTTTTTCGCTTCCAGTCACGACCAGATACGGATACATTCACACCGCAGATGACATGAAGCTGATAACAGGCGTGCCCCTGCAAGACGGCAGAAAACGAGAAAATCAGCAGGTGTGGCATTCAAAAGGGGAAGTTCCAAATCATGCACTGAAAAATAAAAAGAACTTCTTGGCCTTGTCCACTCTCTCTTTACATGGTGCCATGTGTGGCCACAATTCAGCGGGATAATCAAAAGGAATACATAAATGAACGTTCCGAGCTTATCACAAGAAGCAGCACATTCAGTCAAGCTAATAAGCGTCCATGGAGGTCGGTAGCAGCAAGTTCCACCACATGTTTTGATCAGGTAGGCCTTTTAAACTGATGGAATTGCTGTTAAAAAATGTAGAGGTTTCTGTAGACTGTGGGATAAATTAATTAATCAAACGAGGTCCATCAGCTGTTTTGATCGAGTAGCTTTTTGGTTGATGTAATTTTGGACACAAACAAACAAAAATATGTAGTGGTATCTTCTGAGGTAATAAACTAACTCACCGAACTCTGCATCTCATATCTGCTTAGTGCAGCCTTGACCTTTCTGGAGATTCTTTTATGATCCCTACGCTGTTTGCGTCCCTCTGACATGTTAAGATTGAACGCCCGTTCATAAAGTCAAGCTAATAAGCGTCCATGGAGATCAGTAGCAGCAAGTTCCAGCACATGTTTTGATCAAGTAGGCCTTTTAAACTGATGGAATTGCTATGAAAAAATGTGGAGGTTTTTGTGGGATAAATTAATTAATCAAACGAGGTCCATCAGCTGTTTTGATCGAGTGGCTTTTTGGTTGATGTACTTTTGGACACAAACAAACAAATATATATAGTGGTATCTTCTGAGGAATAAACTAACTCACCGAATCCTGCATCTCATATCTGCTTAGTGCAGCCTTGACCTTTCTGGAGATTCTTTTATGATCCCTTCGCTGTTTGCGTCCCTCCGACATGGAAAGATTGAACGCCCGTTCATAAACGGCAACTGGCTGCTTCTGCTGGACTGACATGCCAGTGGAATTGAAAGCAGATGACAATAGCATGGCAAGCTGCTGGACACACTTAGAGGAGAGCTCTTGTTGGGCCCCATTATCTGTCAGCAGTGACAGGACTTGAGGCTTCCAGCATGAACCGAGGAATCCTGCTTGGGCATCAGGCCTGGGGTGCCATGCCGCAATTGCAGCAGCCCTGAAGGCTTCTTCTTGTTCTTCCTGGACACCGCTGCACTGCTTTGTCGCGGCCAAGTTGAGATCCGTGTCGAGCAGGAACCTTATGGCCTGATCGGCATTGAGATCTTTGTCATGGGTGCAGAGGAAAGAGACAAGTCCATACAAGGATCGTGCTTCAATCCGCATCAGGTTCAAGGTGCCGAGAATGTCGAGGTCGTCCAGTTGACTCAGTGGTGGGAAGGTGGCTTCGTACCAGATGGTGTTGACGATGATGTTGGTGACAGGATCGAAAGGGCCGTAGCAATGGCCAGCCTTGAGCATGCTACGGTGGTAGCGAGACCGCAGCTCGCCGCCCGGCATCCTGGCGAGTGCCTGCAGGTAGAAACCATGGATCGTATGTAGGAGCACTCGCCTTAGTGACCAGGAATGCTGGCAGGTCACCGTGGCGGCGTGCTCACTGCGACGGGCGGCAAGCTCCCATGGCCTGATGAGGCTGCTGGCAATGCCAACAGGAGCAGGACAAGGGACATCTGGCGTCTGCTTGGCCAGAGTGTGGAGGATGTGGCCGGGGGAATTGAGCACGGAGACGGCCTTCTCAAGGGTGTCGAGGGAGGAGCACAAGGACAGCCACACGCCTGCGAGCTCGGAGGGACACGGATGCTTGGCGGCCACCATTGCGCACTTGAGAGCGAGCTTGAGGGCGCCGTTGGTGGCCGCGGAGCCTGGGCGGAAGCACTTGGTGCGGCGGTCCTCGACGACGATGCGCGCGGCAACGAGCGGGTCGGCTTCGGCGAGGACAAGGTACCTGACGGCCTCCCAGTCGGTGAGGTGAGGGAAGAAGCAGGTGAGGAAGGCGACGAGGCCATCGAGGGAGCGCCGCTCCACGTCCTTGTCGGCGCCGACGAGCGCCGAGGCCCCGCCGACGGGATCTGCTGCGGCGGCAAGAAGGGCGCTGACGACCATGTTGGAGACCGGATCGAGCAGGCCGACGCAGGTCGCCGCATCGAGGAACCGTAGCAGATCGGGGTGCGAGGCGAGCAGCTTGACGGCTTCGTTGCGGTGGTGCCCGATCTTGATGAGGAGGAGCGATGTGTCCTGCTCCCTCTCCTCCATGGACAGGGCGCCTTCATGAAGCAACGGCGGGCCGTAGACGCGGAGATGGCCGGCGCTGGCCTTGGCACAGAGGCTGGCCATCGCCTCGCCGGAAACCTAGCTAGGTTGAGATGGGTAGATCGATTTGGGTGGGGGAGCGGTTTATTTTTCTTCTTTATTTTGATAGAGGAAATCCTTAGAAGAGGAGGCCGGGAGGTGCTGGCGGCCGGCACCGGAGAGCTCGCCGGAGACCCAGCGATGGAGGTTTGGGGGATTTGGGACGGAAACCTACCTGTTTTCCTTCTTTGGGCCGGCCCACTACACGACTTCTTTACTTTTGTTTGCTTTGTTTTTACCTTTTTTTTTTGACAAGTCTAGCTTCCCGAGCGGCCGGCCTAAAATGAATTTTTTTTGTCCCTTAATAATCTATAAAGGGTAATAATTTGTCCTCCTAATTTATAAAAGAAAAATTATAAGTACCATGTAAACAGAAAGTATTACAAAAGCATCTGTATCAATAGGTGTGAACAAATTTAATTCGAGTTTTGAAATTGAGGGCGCTTGCAAACTATGATAAAAAAACAGATAAGTGGGCGCCAACTAGAGGTAGGAATGTAAATATCGTTTTCTTTTATATGAGATAAGGAGTTCACCATTGATTGATTTATTTTTTACATTAACCACCCAACTTTTTAAAACTTTGACACGAGTTACAGCATCAATCACTGGTGGGATAATCTCACTGGTTGGTTCATGAAACCACTCCCAAACATATGAGCAACAACATTACATTATCTAAAACAATATTGTAAAACAGCTACACAAACTAAATTATAGCAGTCGTCAAAGGCGCCATGGAGGTTTGGATGGAAGGTTGGAGATCATTGAGGATTCATCATCTGCACCACATCCATGGTCTTCCATGGCCTTTTGACAAACGGAAGAGGATGATGCACATCATCTGTACCACGGGAACACCTCAGGCATTGTGGAGAGACCTTAATATGCCTATTTGCTAAAGTGACGTGACAAGGCAAAGTTCCGTGTAGTGTTCTCCATAAGAAATTTCTTACCTTGCTAGGGCCTTGCAGACTTCAAATATGGTACCATATCTTGTTTGAATCGACAGTTCCCATACCATTTGTACGCCTTAATTTGAACCCATGTCGATGATCCCATTCAGCATAATAGGCAGTACATACAGAGAAAATCCTGTTATTTGTCAGGCTCCATGCAGCGAAATCTTTCATGTCATATGTCGGCAAAGGAAACAATAGTATACGCTGCACATCAACTTCCCAAAAAGTCTGGGTCACAAGATCCTCATCCGTTGCCTTGTAGCAGGGTTGATAAGGGCATGTACAATGATTGATAAGATAGTCTTATCTTAAGTCTTGTATGTGATTTAGAGATGACAAAAATTTTTGTCTACAATGGATCATCTCTTAGTCTTATCTTCAATAACTAGTAATTCCTAAAAATATGGTGAGACATATTATGCTAAGAGATCACCTCTTGTCTTCTTTTAAATAAAAGAAGACGAGTCTTTTCTTATGAATTCTCTCTCCTCCACCTCATCACTTATCTTACGTGGCACTCCTAGGATAGCACCATTGTGCATGCCCTAAGGTCACCAACTTTAGAAAGAAGGTTACCCCCACATATGAGAGAAAGATTTCATCATTGATTGATTACACATATATGAGAACCAGCAAACCCTGTGGGATGGCCAAACCTGCAACCTAAAACCCTCTTCGCCGCAGTAACCTCAAATACCTGCCAACGCCCAATGGCTCAATGTACAATACTAATACGTCCTCTTCTCTGGCTCGTCAACCTTGCTGTCGTCCTGCTGGCGGAAGGAGATATTTGGTCGCACCGGCTGTTTCCCCGATCACAACTGTGATTGGGTTGGGTTGTAAATCAACACACGATATCAGGTCTGTCTATTGTGCAGCTGCCTGTAACAAAAACAGATTTCAGTCAGTTATGCTTGTGTCCGTACAACCTTAATCCTGTGGTTGTTACTGTTGCTTTAGAATCTGGGTTGTCTTGCTGACAAAAGTGATTGAAAATTAAAGAACTTTTAGGTACATTTGAATTCATGCTAGAGGCAAGAAAAATATCTGAAAATTTGATACTTTCAGTTACTTTGTGACCACGTGGCTGCACCCCTCCATAGCTTGTTATCTGCATCATGCCCCCATCTCTCTACATATAGAAAAAGTAGCCATCCATCCGCGTGCGGGGTGCGCGTGCGACTTGGACTTGGGACGCCGGGCGACGGGAGGAGGACATGCTTTCCCTGTGACTGCTGTGAGGACGTTCTTGTTCCACCGGCAACGTATGTTCCTGCTGATCTTCTTTCCTCCGCCCCTCCTACGGAATTCAAGAGGTAAGCTTTTGCCCCAGCCCTATTGCATTGAATGAACCGTTCATGACTTACAAAATAGTTTATTCATTCAGAAAATGTTCGCTGATTCAAAAATGATCATGCATTTAAAAAAAAATCGTAAAATAAAAAAAATGTTTGTGAATTTCAAAATTGTTCCACCAATTTCCAGAAAAAAATTGTCGACTCTATAAATATTCCTCGATTCAAGAACATTGTTTAGAAAAATTGTTCACATAAAAAAAAGGTTTGCAAATAGTTTAAAATGTTAATGATTTGAAAAAAAAATCTTGATTTTAGAAAATGTTCGAAAATTTGTAAAAGTGTTAACGAATTTGAAAATGTCACAAGTTTGAAGAAATGTTCATGATTCCAAAATTGTTCATATTTTCACGAAATTGAGAATGATAGTGTATTTAAGTGATGCAGCAAAATATGATCATGACCATTGGAGATTATGAATTTTTCTTTGCAACGCACGACCCTTTTTCTAGTATAGACAGTGTGATATGTGCCTCACGCCCAAGGCGACGGATGTAATATGTCCCTATGAGACTGATCGATTTGTAAGCACAAAAACTAGTCCCGAATACTTAGGGGGGAATGATTCAAATCATCCAGCTGACAATGATGCATGTGTTCGCGGCCTCTGTAGCCGCCGAATTTGATTTTAATTAGATGGTTCAGAAGCAACGTCTTACATAGATTAAGTGCTGCTCCGATTGTCGTCGACGAGGCCGCCGATGAGGCTGCCGACAAGCATGAGCAGTCGCCTCCCGAGCTGCCCCCAAGCTGACGCCTCCGACCGCCGCCATTGGGGTCGCCGTCAGCAAGAATACCGATATTGTCGCTTCGGAGGAGCACCGGCATCCATGGATGTCGCCTCCTTGAGTTTCAGCCACAACAACATTTCCTGCAACATTAACTATATTGCCTAAATATTTTGCAACTTGAACTTTGTTGCAAAAAAATACAAACATTTCTGTAACATCTTGCAAAAAAAATTCAAAAATTTCTGTGACATCATCTCTGTTGAAAAAAGATTCGGCAACATAATATCTATTGCAAATCTGACGTCTTATTATTAGGCGACGGATTTCTTCAAATGATCCGCCCGTAGCACGCCCGTACTAAAGTCTGACCCAATGGAATTCTACGCACAAAGGGCCTGCTACCTAATAAAAAAGTTTAGAGTTGATGACTTGGTGGGTAGGGAGGCCCGCACAGGCAAGTCCTGCAAAGTAAGCAGTGTCCGTGCCCGCGCCAGCCTCTTTCCCCTTCAAAAATTGCCGTGCGGGTTTTGACCCCGCACCGCGAGCGGCTCTCACCGCACCGCTTTGTTTTCCTTACTCATTAGTTTAAGGCAACCTTCACCGCTAGCCCCGCACCCCCTATTTGTACCCCCCGCGCCTTCGCCCACTCGCTCCGCTCCGCGAGGTGGGACTAATCACTCGCCAAGCCTCACCCCACTTCCTTCCTTCCTTCCTTCCTTCCTTCCTTCGTACTGTACTACTGTCAGTGTGTGAGGCCGCCCATGGATTTCCTTCCTGGGCTCCCATGGCGAAAGAAAAATATCCCCTCTCACTCGACTCCGCCGCCACCTCCTCCCCTGCTTCGTCGGCTGCATGGAGCGTCGCCCTCCTCCCGCGCCTGGCCCGGACGACAGCCGCCGGCCGGAGGGTTGCGCACTTCTTCGGCACACACACACCGGCCGGCCCCGCCGAGGTACGTTCATGTGCGCCGCCGCAGCCGAGCTTGCATGGAACGTCGGGCCCGACGCACCCCCTGCTCCACGAACCTCACCGCATTTGGCCTCTGCTGACCACCCCATCCCTCCTGATTTGCATCCTTGGTAACAGGCAGAGTACGCTGCCTAGCTGCTGTTCCTAAATTTGCAATTCAGGCATAGAAGGATATGAACAATTTTCTGATATAATGAATCTATGTTTTCTTACACGATGAGATTTGATGTTGAAGCTGGTGCTCACAAGGTCATATTTACACCGATATGCAGATGGGGCCTGATCATATGGAAGCATGTAACCAGGAAGGATTGCGTCTGAATAAACTCACACGGCAGCTACTGCATTAATCAGGTTAGTGTACTGTCTGGGTAGTTTCATGTTTATCCATTCTTCATTGTGTGATGTGAACCTCAATTGATATCTGTATTATACTGAACAGTCAGGTGTTAAGCTCTGAAACTTGTTGAAGCTTTGAGAGCGGTGTTTATATTTACCTAATCTGCAATTGTAACGGTAGCCTCACTTGCTGAAATTCTAGAGTATGTCACTGTTGAAGGTCATTCGCAGACAGAACCTTCCAGTACTAACCTGCTAGGTCATGAGCTGGTTAAGTTAATAGGACACACAATGACTGAACCTTCACAGTAGCTATCCCCCAATCAGTATCACATGAAATAGGATTTTACTAGGATCCAGACTCATGGGACTGCGTCTTGTTTGTTATTAACCGGATTCTTGATATTTTTGTCATTCCATTTGACTCAGCCGGTTTTAAGCTCACAAAATATAATAGCTGCACTGGTTTTTCTGTTTCGTCTAGCCCAGATGATACTTTGCTTCATTTAGTCCTCTGTGTAGGTTTAACTTATCTAGTGCTTGCTAACAGTTGTTTGGGCTTGTCGAGTTGGTGCCCCCAATGTTGGAAAGTCTGTACTTGTTATTTCCATTCATAAAATTGCCAATCC